AGCAAGAGTAAGCATACGTGATAGTGGCTAGCTTGGTGACAGAACTCTCTTCCTGGTCGATGCAGTTCAGCACCTGTTGGGTCTTGGCTGTTGGGATGATGATTCTTTTGGGTGAGGGGAAGAACTGCCGTCAAGGCTGCCTGCACCCCTACCCAGGCACAGGACCCTGGGCAAAGTCTCAGAAGAGGTAGTGTTTTTACTTTCGCACCAACAACAAAACAGAAGTATTGGGTACAAAAGAGGAGGTTTCCTTCCCACTCTACCTCGATGGGCAAAAGGCCTTCCATCTTCACAAGAGGCTGGTGAGGACCATTGGTTAATGACCTAGTGAATTCTGGCTCCCACTCAGAGCACAGAGAAACCCACAAAAGGGGCCTGTGGCTCTTTTTCCAGCTCTGAAGGGGACAGCACGGTTACATCCCCAGGCCCCAGGCTGCTTCTCCTGCCATCATACTGCAAGCCTTCTTACACCACTTTGACCCAGGTTGAGGTCTGGCACAAAATACCCTCAAAGGCGATTAATACAAAAAGCTTCCCGTGAGCTAAGGAGTTAACTATGTGCACTTATTTTTCCAGAGATTGGAGAGAGAAGAGAACTAGCCAACACTTGGTTTGGTTTTGTGTTCGTGGCACACCTAGACAGTTTGGCATAGCCAATCCCATAGAGCCTGCAGCCCAATCCACTCTGTTTTGGTTTAGAATTTTTTTTTTTTTCATTATCATTTTTCTTGGAAGTAGGGAAGATCTGAAAGCTTGAAAATCAAGAATCAAAAGACAGTGAATCTGGAAGGCATCTGGGAGCAGAACGGAGATTGAAGACGGGTGGCCGCTGCCCTTGAAATGTGAATTTTTTTTTTTTAATAGCTGAGTCCACAGTTGCTTGAGGTCCGGCTTGGCTCTTCATTTCCAGCGATGTCTGACCAGAGAGGACTCATCATTCACGACCTCAGGGTCCCGGGGGCGACACTGACACCGGAACGGCAACAGCAGCAGGACGATTAAGACAAGGAGGATGGCTCCACACACACTCATGAGCGCGTACGACACGATCCACAAAATGGGCTCGCTCAAAGACTGGGCGGGGACACAGTTGCTGGCTACGTCCTCCGTTGAGAATGGCCCAGAAATTTCAGACACTGCAGCACCTGCAATTTCTAGGGAGACATAAAGGGAAAATCCAGAGCTGTGACATGAGCAGACCACCTCCCCCATCTGACACAGAGAGAACCCCTTGGCTGATTAAACCACAAAGTGATACTCAGGTCCCCGTGGCTTAGACAACTCAGGAAGCACTGAGGGGGTCACCACTCGGTGTGCCTTCGGGGGTCCAGTCTGTGCACACTGGAATGACGGTGTGTTTCAAGGTCTGCGGTACGGAGCCTAGGTGTGGAGGGGAACTGCGGTGGGGCACCTATGGGAGCACCCTGTGCTTCGTGGAAGGCCGGTGAGGCGGCAGCGCTATGCAGGTGAGAGTGCATGTCAGTGCCTGGTCATGACAGTTGCGTGGGTTGTGCTTCCTCCGTGGAGATGAGAAAAGAGGAGAAAGGGGAGAAAGAATAGGGGAGTCTACCACAGAAAGCTCAGTTGGACCTGCCTGTGTCATGGGGAATTTCCCTGGTGGAGTCAGCTTGAGTTCACTCTCTACCATGGATTCTGCTACAGACAGGGACCTCACATCAGCCTGACCCACAGGCCCCGTGGGTTGCGAGAACTCCCAGGGTCAGACTGGCTAGAGACCCTCCCTGCTCCACTCTTATCCTAGGTCTCATCTACAGCCAGGAGCAGTAAGTGAACGCAACACCTAATTCATGACATCCCTGGTGACAAAGAGAAACACAGTTAAGATTCGCCCGGTGACTTCTGCTAGAGACTCTTGAATAACTTCAAACCAAGAAGAAAGTTGAGATGATTTCTTAAAGCCAGTTTGTGGATTATCAGTAGACTTCCTTTCCTTACACTAAGCTTCTCTGATCCTTTCAGGAATGTGGAATCTTAAGCTTTACTTGCAATACAAAAAAGAAATAGGTCTCATTATCCATTTTCCCTATATGTAATCACAGAAATCAGTATTTTGGCACCAGAAAATAACACTGCAAAGCATTTAATTTTTCTATAACTAAAGCTTCAAGATCTTCAGAGCTGCCAAACAATCCCCTTTTTGACTGAGGAAAGAAAAAGTCAAAATAACAGTGGGATAGTGGCCTGAAAAAAATGGTTTTTAAAATCAGAGGAAAACAGGCTCGATTACTTTGCAAAGTGACTGCATTTTCTTGCTAATGTGGATTCTGTCTTAATATGGCTTTTTTTAAAAAGTGCACTGAAAAAGAAAGGCAAGGAACTAGAGACTGCCAACACCCGAGAACAGAGGGACGCAGCCTGCAGTCAATCTACACTCCAATTTCCTGGTTGGTAGATAATGATTTTGCTTAACACAGAGAAAGACAAGGTACAAGAGACAAGGGAGCTCTCCTGGACTGTCTTTTAATAAGGGCGCTAATTCCATTTACAAAGAAAAGCTCTGCCCTCATGACCTAATCACCTTTCAAAGGCCCCAACTCCAAATATCATCGCTTTGGAGATTAGCTTTCAACATAAGAATTTTGGCAGGACATAAACATGTATTCTATAGCACTAATTATTCGAGGAAACAGGAAAACACAGTTCATAGCAGGGAGTAAAATCAATCAATTGGAACTTAGAAATGGCACAGACGATAGAATTAGCAGGCAGGATATCAAGATATTTATTATGACTGTATTCTACTCAGATGCTAGATAAAATGTTAAACATGTTAAATAGAGACACAGAAAACATTAAAGATCTAAATCAAATTTCTAGAGGTAAAAATTGCAATATGTGCGATAAAAATATACTGGATAGTTGTAATAGCAGATTATATGCCGCGGAAAGACTAATGAATTAAAAAACGTAACAGAAACCATCCAAAATGAAGCCAAGAGAAAAAAAACTGAAAAATAAAAAGAGAAAACATCAAAGTGTGGACAACATCAAGCTGCTAAATCATGTAATCAGAGTACTCAAAAGAAAAAGGGGATTGTGAGGCAAAAAATATTTGAAAAATCAATGACCAAAATTTTTCCAAATTTGATGAAACTGTAAATCCAACAGATCTGAAAAGCCCAAAGGACCCCAAACACAAAAAAATGACATAGATGATAATAGTGAACTGCTGAAAAACAGTAATAAAAATTTCTTAAAAGCAGAGAGAGAGAAAAAAGAAATATTATGTACAAATGAATAAAAATAAGGATTACAGATGATTTCATGTTGGAAGCAATGCAAACCAGAAGACAATAGAGCAACATCTTTAAAATACTGGAGGTAGAAAAAGCCCTGTCAACCTAGAACTCTATACCTAGCAAAAATATCTTTTAAAAATTAAGATGAAATAAAAATGTTTTCAGTCATACGCAAATTGAGATAAGTCATTACGGATTTTCACTAGAGAAAGTTCTTCAAGCAGAAGAAAAAGGACATCAGAAGGAAACTTGAATCTACACAATAGAATGATGAACACCAGAAATAGAAACTATATAGTAGTTATAAAATCTTTGTTTTTAATTTTAAATATTTTAAAAAATTAACTAAAGCAACAATTATAACAATGTGCCAGGTGGCTTATAATATAGGCATAGATAAAATACATGCCAATAATAGGATAAAGGACTGAAGAAGAGACATAGAAGTGTATTGTTATAAGGCTCTTAGAATGTACGAAGTGGTAGGCTCTGATCAGTTAAAATGACCTTATACTATACATCCTAAAGCAATCACTAAGTAAAGAGTTATAGCTAGTAAACTAGCAAAGAAGATATACAGAAATAGAAAATAATCCAAATGAAGGCAACAGAAAAGGAAAAAATGAGACAAAAAAGACAAAAAGAAAAATAGTTTTCTTTGTTGTGTTCCTGGTTAAACAGAGACATATCAATCATACATTAATTATAAATATTCTAAGCCAGCATTTAGCAAACTTTTTTCATAAAGGGCCAGATTGTAAATATGTTAAGCTTTTTAGGTTAGCTTCTTTGTTTTTTTTCAACCCTTTAAAAATGTAAAAACTATTCTTAGCTCACAGGCCATACAGAAACAAGGTACCTGCCAGATTCAGCCTACGGGCAATTGTTTGTGGATCTCTGATTTAAACATCACAACTAAAAAGCAGAGATTGCTAAATTAGATAAAAAGCAAGATCCAAGTATATTCTGCCTACAAGAAACTCGCTTTTAATGCAAAGACTCAAAATGCTGCGAGCACAGTGGCTTATGCCTGTAATCCCAGCACTTTGGGAGGCCAAGGCGGGCAGATCACCTGAGATTGGGGAGTTCAAGATCAGCCTGACCAACATGGAGAAACCCTGTATCTACCAAAAATACAAAATCAGCCAGGCATGGTGGTGCATACCTGTAATCCCAGCTACTCAGGAGGCTGAGGCAGGAGAATTGCTTGAACACAAGAGGTGGAGGTTGTGGTGGGCCAAGATCGTGCCATTGCACTCTAGCCTGGGCAACAAGAGTGAAACTCCATCTCAGAAAAAAAAAAAAGAAAAAAGGAAAAAGAAAAAAAAAACCCTTCACGATGTTAAAAGTAAACAAATGAAAAAAAGTATCATATTAATGCTTATCAAAAGAAATCCAGAGTGGCTACATTACTACTAGACAGAATAGATACAGATCAAAAAGAATTATCAGAGATATAGTAGTTTCATAATGATAAAATGTTCCCTTCATAAATAGACATAAAAATCCCAACGGTTTTGTACCTAGTAACAGTGTTTCAAATTACATAAAACAAGATTGATGAAAATGCAAAGAGAAATCCACAAATCCACAAACATAGTCAGAGATTCCAATATCCCTTTCTTAATAATAGAGCAAGTAGACAGCAAATAAGTAATGGTATAGAATATCTAAACAACGCTATCAACTAACTTGACCTATTATAAAACACTCTATCCATAATAGCAGAATGTACACTGTTTTCAAGAGCACAAGAAATATTTACCATGATAGACTATATTCTGGGTGATGAAACAAGTTTCAATAAATTCCAAAAGATTCAATTCCTAAAAACTATATTCCCTGACCACACTGAGGTTAAATTAGAAGTCAGTAACAGAAAGCTTCTGGAAAAATCCCTAATTATTTGGAAACTAAATAACACATTTGTGGCCAGGTGTGGTGGTGGCTCACACCTGTATTCCCAGCTCTTTAGGTGGCTGTGGGGGTAGGATCACTTGAGGCCAGAGGATGGAGGCTGCAAGGAACTCACACTGCTGTATGTATGTATACTCACACTACTGTACTCCACTCTGGTAACAGAGTGAAACCCCATCTCTATTTTTTTTTTTTAAATAACATTTCTAAAAAACTACAACACTTCTAGAAAGAAACACAGGAGGAAATCTTTGTGTCTTTGGATCAGGCGAAAAATTTCTTAGCATACCCAAAAGCACAATTTGTAAAATAAAAAAACAAAAATGATCTTATCAAAATTAAATAAGAACTTCTCTTTAAAAGAAAATATGAAGAGACAAAAAGACTTGGCAAAAATATTTACAAGCCAAATTTCTGATAAAGGACATGTATTCTTAATATATAACTCTGAAGACTCAATAATGAGAAAACAAACAAGTCTATACAAAAATGGGCAAGAACATTTGAAAAGACACTTCATTTAAAAAGATACATGAATGGTAAAGAAAAGCACCTAAAAAGATATTCAGGGTCATTAGTCATTAGCGAAATGCAAATTAAAACCACAATGAGACCACTAAATATTAATACCTATTAAATAAAAATACTGACCATGTCAAATGTTGGTGAGGATGTTTGACAACTGGAACTTTCATACACTGCTGGCAGAAATGTGACATTTTACAGCCAACTTTGAAAACGAGTTTGGCAGCAAGTGAAACATACTTGTTATATAACTCAGCCATTCCACACCTATTTGTTTATCCAGGAGGAATAAAAATATGTGTCCAAGGACTTGCATGCTATTGTTCACGGCAGCTTTATTTATAATTGCTAAAAAAAACAAAACTTGGCAACAACCCAAAAGGTCACTAACAGGTGTATGAGGATAAAGAAATTGTAAGGTCTAAACACAATAGAGCATTGATCTGCAATAA